TCGTAAAGCCTTGGCCGACATTGCATTGCCCACTCACTCCATCCAAGAAACCGATAGTGCCGCTGCCACCCCACAGCCAATTCTGCTATTTTAGATGATTTACGATGCGTCTTTAAATGTGGACTGGTCGTGTCCGTTGGATCTTTTGCTAATGCAAGCTCTAGTCTAGGTGTGGCCCGGTGGCCTCCGCAAATGATGGGACCTCCGGAGGGTGCTCCGTTGCATTGGTGCGAGTTTCTGTGTGTGGTGGCAGCGGCACTATCGGTTTCTTGGATGGAGTGAGTGGGCAATGCAATGTCGGCCAAGGCTTTACGAAGGGGCAGACCCGTTCGCCTATCGTGTGGCGAGAAAACAAAAAGAAAAGAGGCTCGTAGAACTGACGACGCTTTGGGCAGAAGTGCTTGTCGAGTTTGATCGCGTTGGGAAAAGCCTCACGGGTCCCGGTGGAGAGAGAGAGAGAGAAGATCTCTCCGGGAAAAGAAACCACGAATTGCTGGATCGGGCGAGGCTGGGGACCACGAAATTTCCAGATCCGAGATCATCGCGATAACCGAGTCCCCAGTGCTTGCACAAGAGGCGTCACTAGTACCCTCTAGAGCCGGCCAAGCGAGAGGAGGTCCCGGCCCTCCTTGCATGGCGGGGCTCCGGGCAACGGGCGGTCCGGTGGTTGCCAAAAGCGCCCTCTCAACTCTCAAAGGCGCCTTGTCAACAACATCAGATCGTTCGTAAATAAATAAACATGTAACCGACTAACAAATAGGGTAGCTGGTGGTCAACCGCCACCGCTGCAGGGACGGTGGACGGCAGCACGCTGCAGCTTACTTTGGGCGCTTGCTGCCTTGAAAAGAAACGGGCGGGCGTTTCGGCAAGAGGCGTTCTTGGTCGATGCAATCCAGCTCATGTTACGACACGGTCGCTCCCAAGCTGAATGTCGTGTGGCGACTTGACAAGGCGGGATGCGTGGGCGCACAGCGTCCTCATGAAACACGGCAGCAAGCCTTTGTCAGAAGGAAACGGCACCGCCCCTTGGTGGTTCAAGGGTTAAAAGCACAGCGTCAAGGCCTGAGCAGCGATCGTCCTCGAGGGAGGGACGGGCTCAGCGACCATGCAGCATGCCTATATTGCCCGAGGCTGCCGCCTCGAGAAAGGCGACACAACCGGGCGGGCGGCCAGTACGTCAGAGTCGAACACTCGAAAGAGAGCACGGGAAGGCCCGCCGTCATACTGTGGCGGTGATTGCCTGATCACACTACACGACAGGGCTCCGGCGAGGGAACCACGGCTGAGCACAGGAGTAAGCGAGGGGAGTGAGCATCGAAAGAGTAAGCAATACCGGAGAGCGAGGTTTTTCCAAGCGTGCGTTTTACCTCCTGTCGTGACGACTGCGTGCCACGCCCTGCTTGCAAGGGTATTACACAGACAATAAGACATCTGCCAGGGAACCAAGACACAGCGCAAGCGCCAAATGCGCGTACTATTTATGGTAACCTTCTTTCCATGGCAAAGTGCGTGAGAAAGGAAAGGAAAAGGAGATAGCGTGCCAGTTGTCCAGATCATGCTATTCCCTGATTGTGAGGCCTAGCGGGCAGCCTCATATGCATGATTTCATGTCGATATGCAGGAGTGTCACAGGGGGGCTGGTGGGAGTGCCCTGTTTAATATCTTTCCTGTGCCTTCATTCGTCTCGAGCATTGCCGCCGTATCTTTTGCGGATACGTGGACGCCCAACAAAAGGATGAATCAGAAACATTTTGATCAAGGAAGGAAAAAGCAACAGGAGCTTTTCAGGAGCTGGGACGGGGGTAATTGAAAACTTTTCCGCCATAGTTCCCCGTCCTCTTGGATATGGTATTATAGCTCTTTTAAGATATAGACCAGCAAGTCTCATTAACCAAAAAGGGGGGACTTTGTGAATCGAAACGAATGGGATGCGGCAGCACTTGTAGGCTCTTTTGCCTGTTCGCGGAGAGCTTCCCGGCCGAGACTGGGACACACGCGGCCGCGCACACACGCACACACATATACAAGATGCACAGAAGCACCTCATTCTCCCCTTGCCGAAGTTCCATAGCATGTGGGAGAAGGGATATGGAAGAAAAAAAGAATCGAGGGCAGGAAGGTGTGTCCCGGGCCGGGCTCGGTTTGGGATGATACTGTGGCGGAGTGAGTGAGTGGCACAAGGACAAAACGTGCGTAAGAAAAAAGTAGAAAAACCAAGGCAGTCCCGCAGTAGCGGGCACGCCTAGGAGTCGATGGTGTCCATGGCACGCGCCAGGAAAGGTTTAATAGACGGTGCCCAGATTCGACGCTTATGCTCCCCGGGCCAGGTCTGGTCCACTGAGAAGGCCGAGAAGCTCGCATGCATTTACCTTCTTTCCTCCGTGCGAGATGCAGATAGGATTTCCTCTACCAAGACGGCGAAGTGCATATGCTCGAGGGAGAGATGACTGTTGGTCCTTGGTCACCGACCCAGGTTTCCGGAGCCTGTTTCTGTCGAGAGCACGAGGGCGGAATACCCGTAAGACATGCCGGGTTTGAGCGGCCTTGCCCCAAGTGCTGTGTGTACAACAAGTAGTGTGGAATGCGAAGGAAGAGGTATCGGTTACAGTTGTGACAGGGTCACCGCGGCTCAGAGGCTTGTGTACTTTATGTGTATACACGCCATGTAACGGAGAGTCCGTTAAGTTCTCTGATATGGGTTGGGCATGGTGATCCAGCACAACAAGGACCTGGTCCCCCCGAACTGGAGAGAAGGGTGACCCTTGTTGACGGTTTTGCACCCGGCTTCCCCCAAGGCATCGGACCAGGCCTCATTAACTACCAAGCCGTGCGTAAAGTACGGAAGTACTTGTAGTCAGTGGCGCGGAGCAAGGAGTCTTGGCCTGGCGCAAATCATAGGCTGGAGCCGATTCGCGCTAAGTCAGATCGATCAACAACACCCCATCAGCCCAGGAGGGACTGTACGGAGTAGGTACTTGTGGTCGAGGCATGCCAGCGAAATTGTGCAAGCTGCAACGGGTACCATATATCCTTGTCCGTCTTGATATGAGATCCCACCATCTTGGCATCTTCATGCTCTCTCCCATATCGAGGCAGGAGGATGAAACACCCAATAGAGGAGAGGAAACAAGTGAGAATCCGGACGCCGGCTCTCTTCTATCAATATGAGGACGGATAGGGCGGGACGGGAGACGCATGTCGAAGACTATTGAGATGTAAAACACACATGGCCGTCTCGTTGCCATCTGGCCGTCGATCCCCGTCCGTCAGCATGGGGTTTTGAGTGAGATGAGCAGATGAGCAGAGAAGAAGAAGAGATAACTACCTCTACAAGTACCCGCACCCCTGGCCGCCGGGCGTTGGATCGGGCTGGGCTGAAAGAGGAACCTGCATCGAGTGAAATGATGGGGAGCCCTGGCAGAGCCTGTGTCCTTTTTGAAATTAAAGGCAGCTTCAGTGAAGCGGAGCAGATGCCCTTTCCTGGAGCTGCTGAATATGCAGCGCCCGCACCCCAACTTCGCTAAATTTACAGCGCATGCATGACCCGGATTGGGGCAGTGGATGTACGCCTATGGCCGCGGGCGGGTGCTGTTGGCATGGGTGCTCAGATTGAAGGGCCGGGCACGGTACCTGGGAGCCTGGCTCGCTCGCCTGGACCAAGAAAGTCAAATTCCTTGTTGACATTTGACACAATTCCAAACAAAGCACCAGGCGTGCCATTCGTCATATCCGCCCGCTCTCCCGTGCCTTGATCCCCCCCGGCCCTGGCCTGGCCTGGTCTCACCTCACCTCATTCAGTTCGCGCGTGTCCACCAATCCCTCCCGCATCGTAACTACTTGTATCTGCCAACCAAACTGCTACCAGACTACGAGCCAAACCCGGCTACCTACCCATCTCTCTGTGCTTGTTTGTACAGCACAGCAGCAGCAAGCACAGCGACCAGTCCAGGGACGTCGGCGACGCGCATCGCAGGCCCAGTCTCAATAGGCCGGCTGCAGCCACCAACCTACCTAGCCGGGTAGGTACCTCGCGCCGCGTACATATGGACACCCACTACCTGGACATACCTACTCCGTACACGCTCTTTTAGCATTGAACTACCCAGAAAGCTGGAGCCAAGCCAAGCCGAGTCCATCTCAAGTCCCGCTCCAAAACAGCTTCTTTCGCTCTCGCGCACCCTTCAGTCTCTCTCTCCACCGACCTGGAGTGTACGGAGTAGTTACGTACCTACTTGCAGTAGACTACAGTCGTCACTTTCACCTCGGTGGTATCTAGATCGGCCTGTTTTCTCACGCACCCTGACTGCGGGCTCACGTTTGCTTGCTTGCTTGCTTGTTTTTGGCTGGCTCTGCTCCATTCGTCCTCCTCTTTCTGCCCTGGCCTTACCTTACCTCACCTCATCATCCTACCTGCCGACCCTCCGATCTGCTCCCCCAAACTTTCTTGCTCGCGGCCAGAAACAGAGACCTCCTTCGTCTTTTTGTTTTCCTTGGGCCTCCCCAACTTGACGTGTTGCACGCCCTCCCTTCCGCCCTCTTGTTTTTCCCCTCTCTCACCGACGGCTGCGTCCGCTTTCCGGACCACAGTCAGCCATTGGCCCTTGGGTTTCTGGTCTGTCATTGGCATTGTCTGGGTTGCAGAGGTCACAGCCAATTGCAAGGCCCACGGCTGCTGCATTTTTCGGGGGGTCATCTCCAAGCCCAGGTCGGTTCGAATGTCTCTCCAAAATATGGGTGCTACCTACAAACCCCAGTTCTCTTCACTAACCCACAGCCAATCCACATGGGTCTAGCAAAATTAAGACGACAGTCTTCACATTCCTCAACTCCTCTCTGGTCCTCCCGACGAAAGAATCACCATCCAATGTCTTGACGATGCAAACGATCCTCCTCGCGAACCCCGTCCTCCCCTCTACTCGCCTCTCCTCCTACGGCTACTCCTCGTCCGAGTAGAACCAAGGCCGGCCAACATGCAGGCGGTCCCCAGTGTAAGTGCTGCCCTCGTTCGACCTTGTTTACATTGGAACCGCCACTGTGTTTTGTCGTTTCACTAGGCGCATGACACCATCGTGTTGCGAGGCACGCATGGTTGGCACTCTCCTCTCGAGATTCCCGAAAGGCTGCTTCGTAGCCCGCCTCGATTCTTTTCTTTTTCTTAAGCAACCGCTGACATTCTTCAAAACCAGCTTGTTGGGACCGGCACTGTTGTCGCCGCAGCGGCTGCTGGCCTGGTCTTCGCTCAGCCCGCCGACTCGACCCCCTCTCGGCCGACATCGAACAAGAGAAAGCTAACCTCAGACTACGATGTCCACCACACCCTACCGACCTCTTCACGTCCCGGTACTAGTGCTACAAATCGTGCTATCCCCGACCAGGACGCATTCTCTCGCCCTCAGCAGACCTCCCAGGCTCAATCCTCCGTCACGACCAAGGGCACGCGACGAGCCCGATCCGCTACGACACAAATCACGCCCCCGAAAGGCACGAGTAGGCGTCAGTCTTTCGTACGGCAAGGAGAATGGGCCCCTCCGCCCATTGCTGAGCATTCGCGGGACTCGATCTCGTCGAACGGTTCCTGGATGAGACGGTTGTCAATACGGCCTCTGTCTCAGCACGGGAGCATTAGGTCAAGTATCGGGCCCGATTCTCCTTCAATCACCTTCTCCCACGGCTCGGGGGCCCCGATCCTCCCTGGCTTCTCGGTTCCACCCCAGGTCTCGAGAAACAAGTTGGTCAAGCGGACAACACAAGGCCAGGAGAGCGGCAATGACACCTTGGCGAGGCGGGGCTCTCGTTCCCAAATGCCGACTCTGCGGCGGCCGGCGACGAGCCACCAGCGCTCTGCAACGCTGCAACGAAATCATGTGCCTGAGATGGGTGCAGGACAGGTTTCGTCACCCAAGTACTCGCTTGACCAACAGGCTGGTCTGGATTCGACCAGAATGGAAGTGGACCCGGCAGAGGCCCGCAGAGAAGCACCACACCCCACCTGGACCTCATTTTTCCATTCTCGAATTATGAAGTCTGCCGGTCGCAACTCGTCCCGTTCTCATGAGGGAAGCCCTAACACATCGGCTCTGCCCCCTAGAAGACTACTGCTCCGGCGAGGAAGCATGCCACGTGCCTTTCTTGTTGAGGCGGGCATGCTCTCGTCCTCGGTCCCATCTGGGGAGGTTCCGGGTACTGACGCCTCCTTGCAGGACGGCTCGGCCGATCCGGCTGCGAACGCGGAGGATGAAACACCATCTAAACGTGCTAGGCGCTCGATCTCGATGCATTTCAGCGCGCCAAGTACCTGGATCTCTCGGACCGGTAGTATTCGTCGTCCGAAGAGGGGTGCTGACGGCGAGAGCGGGGGCAAGCGTCATGTGTCTGACCCTGTCCGGACAGCCCCAGGCCGCGAACAACAGGACCTCCGGGTGGCTGTACGAGATATATTCACGCCACCAGACCAGATCCAAAACTCGGACGCGCTAGCAGTCTCTAACTCTGAAGGACGACCCCGACCCCGCGATACATCCTCGCCCATCCCCCCACTGTCCCGTCTGTCAAGTTTTAATGTTGACTTGTCTCGGCTCGGTGCCTCCTCGTCGGCTGGTCAGCGAGCATTCCAATTGCAAGGAGGAACTCTGCAGCCATCACAAACCTACGCCTTTCACCCCAGGAGCCGGGAAGTTTCTAACGAACGTGCTTCCACCCTCACTGGGTCAGATCTCGAGATGCGGGGTTTCGCCTCTGGAGATGACGACGACACTGACTTCAAGAGCGACACCATGTTCGATTCCGTCCGCACTGCCGGTTCGAACCGCTTACGATCAGTCGAAACGCCGCTCGATTCCATGTTCGACGAGTCTCCTCCAAGCACGGCGGGCAACGGCAAGACAAAGCGGCTGTCGATCCAGGAGATTCTGGGACGATCCTGGGATGGTGACACCAAGATTATGGAGGAGGATGAGGGTGTCCCTACGCCTGTGCGTGGAGGGCAGTCTGCACACACCAATCGCCAGTTCCCTCTTGTTCCACGGCTCTCGCATGGCCCGAATAATGATGTTGACATGGAGCGCCCTTCGGCTGATCTGTCAATCACCAACCGGGACTTCAGTAGGTTATCTTTGGACGACGACGACGATGACGATTGGGCAAGGGACGAGGAGGATGGAGTGAGCAATAACTTGTCGCCCCCGACGAGTTCTATCAATTCGAGGCGTGTGAGCCCGAATCTACGAATGGCACTGGCGAATATCAGTGGTAATGTCGGTGCTGATACGCTGGGCGACCCGGCTGAACGCCCACGGAGCAACGTCTTCGACTGGAGTGAGCCATCTCAACCGGAGAAGAACGAGATGAGTGGTCATTCGCCAAGACCCAAGACGGTCCATGGCAAGCAGGAGTTGGACCTGCGTGGAGGCCGCGCCTCCAATCGGAAAGGTCCCGTTGCCGCTCACATCAGGAGTCAGAGCGTACCGGTCATTCCCGACATCTCGGAGATCCCCAAGTCGGCGTCCAAGTTTGGTACGTGGGCATCTGGACCCAAGAATGCCAGCGAGGACTGGGACGACGACTTTGAATTCGAGGTGGATTCTGGTTCAGATGCACCAGGCAGGGACTCGGCAACCTCGTTCTCGATGGTTGTTCCCGCTTCCATTCAAGCCACACAGCCCACTGTCAAAGCACACTCGGGCCAGATCCGTGAGCTCTCCCTGCTGGTTGATGGCCTGAAACGGCTATGCCGCCATGGCCGGGACTTGAACCTGCTCGAAGATGCTCCATCCTTGTGGAAAGAGGCCGAGAATATCATAGCACTTGCATCTCCGGACGAGGACTCCGATGCAGAAGAGACCAGGGACGAAGATCGGAAGTCCGATAGCTTTGATCCCTCGACCGTTGATGAGCGCTTCCTGGAAGAGGGGTTCGATGCCAAGACTCTTGATAGCTTTGATGATCCCTTCGAGAGACCGGACCCGGACATGGCCAAGACGGCCGTCGTCAGGGAGAGGCATGTGGTTCGCCGGCGATCAGTCTTTTCTCCAGATGATGACATCTTTGGCAGCAATTGGCCACTGACGTCGGAAGAGAACAAGCCAGTCGAGCGTCCACACACACCGGACCAGCCCAGAAGGTCGAACTCGCCCGACAACGGAATGATCACATCGATCATGGAGGCAATGCAGCAACAGCGCTCATCGTCGGCCCCGATCAGGAGCTCGCCCATGAAACCATCCAACTCGGAGCTCTTCTTCAATACCAACACTCTACAGGAGTTGGTCAAGCGTGCTAATAGCCTCTTTCATACCTTGTCCGACATGGTCCGCCGAGCCGAAGTGCTCACGCAGAGCCCTGCCTGCACACCCCGCCACGAGAAACATCTCCGAAGTGACGGCAGCCCCGCCTTCACTCGTGTCTTCACCGATCCGGCCGCGAGCCCTTCGAAGCGGCTACCCAAGAGCCAGAGCACCAACTCTGCGCTCAGCAGAGCCTCGATCGATTCACCCGCATCCAATGGCATCGGACAGCGTATGCAGATGATGACGGTGAATTAAACGAGGTTCTTGTATGTTTTTTTTTTCTTGCAATACCTGGACCGACTACCTCTACCTCTACCTCTACCTCAACAACACCGACATGAATTGGCTTCTGTTTTGATTCGTCATGATGATAGAAGAGAGAAGGGGATACACTGTCACTCCCCACGAATGAGAAATGGGTAATCTCACGAGCCCACGAAACGAATTGTGTATATGTACGATTACTCGGCTGATGACGGCATCTTTTGTTGGTCATACCGCCTGTTAATGGCTCGCTGTCTTTTTAACGCGTTACGGAGTTGCATAAAGAGAGAAGAGGACCATCAGCCCTGGGTGGTCTATCCATTGCGGTCACCTTCTCCCTCTTGTTTCTTTGGTCTTTTTCTCCTTTTTTTCCCCTTTTTAACTGGTCTTGCATCAAAATCCGGGTGTCTTTGGCCCCGGTCGGTTCTTTTTTTACAGGGTGGGAATAGGAGGAGTGGACATAAGGGCATCCGGTGGGCATCAGGGACATAAAAAAAAGACCATAGGTTTGATTATCGAAAAAAAGAGGGCATGGCTCTGGGGGTGGCGGGTGGCATCAAATCCCTTTGACGTAGGAAAATCATCCAGATATATTCCACCATGACTGCTGTCCTTGTCGTTATTAGCTCTGTGTGTTGGCGTTGGTGGGATTTGCGTGAGATCTTGCGGGAAAGACATGGGCACACTTTGGAAGCCATTTATGACCAAGGCTGTTCCGCCTCTGACTATTATTGTCTCTTCTTGCTATTCGTGTCAACCGAGGTTTTGGGGTGAGACTCGCCGCAAAATTTTGTGCCGGGTGGAGCACGGGAGGGCTCCGAGGGTTAGCGGGCGGGTCTGCCGGGGCGGCCGTAGGAAGGCCCACACCGTTTCCCGTCTTCGGGCCTTTGGGGGGTGCGGGCCGAGCCCCAAGACGTTCTGTTCGTCCCGGTGCCCGGTGAGCAAGTGGACAACATACACGTAGAGACACGATCTGTTGGATTCAGAGGTTTTATGTTCAAGCTATAGTAGAGATGGTAAGCTTGGTAATGTGCGAATGTGAAAGCTTGTGTGTGTGTGTGTGTTGTGGCGTTGCAGGTGTTCTTCAGCCTCCTATCATGGTTGTCTGCCAAGGCTCTCTCATTGTCAGCGGATGCCTACATTACGTGGTCTTTCGGCTTTCACGGATTTTAATTTCCATTGTGGTGGCGAGAAATGGGGTTCGAGGTGCAGTTTTGGAAGAAATACAAAGATTTATACGAGGTTCTCGAGAACGTTCCAATATTCCATTCATCGCGTTGGGGGGTCAATACCTTTCTCTCGCGGCTCCCTGTGATGGCTCGCCAGCGTTCCAGGGCGAGGCGTTTCGCCTATCCGAGTTTGGACCGGACAGCCACCTCCTTCCGCCTCTTGCGGCTCTGGAGCGGCCCAAGAGAGTCGATTATCCGATGCGACCTCTTCGCGGCTGACATTGGCGAATGGGAGGGACAGTATCAGGCGGCTTCATACGTATGGGGGGACCAGAGCGGCCGCAAACATCAAATCATAATTAATGGCCAGGAGTACTTTGCTCTGGCGAACCTGCACGCGTTTCTCTGGACCTTGCGGGACACCATCGGCAGCGAGGAGTCCCTTGTTCTCTGGGTAGATGCCATCTGTATTGATCAGGACCTGGGTCCCGAGCGCAGTCACCAGGTCTCGCTCATGTCATCCATCTATCCAAAAGCCGAGCGGGTCATTGCGTGGCTTGGTCCCGAGGCGGGACCGACCTGCGACTTCAAGCGATGTCTCGATGATTTCCTGTCCGGGAGAACCTGTCCCAGGAAATACATCTTGGGTAACTGCCTGAGCATCATGGGTTTGGAGTATTGGTATCGCATCTGGACTTACCAAGAGCTCATCCTGGCACGGGACGTCGATCTACTCTGGGGCAGCTACTGGCTCCCTTGGGAGGGTGTTTTATCATTATTACAGTCGCCAGAAATATGGACTGTTGGAGAACAAGAATGGGTAGAAGGCGAGGCAGATGCGCGAAAGAAAATCAATGAGGTGATAGAAATAGAGAAATACCGGAGAGGTGGTCAGCCCCGATGCCTTTTGACCATGATCTCCGACATACACCAGCGGCGGTGCTCGCGCAGCCTCGACAGGATCTACGGCGTCCTCGCGGCGGTGAACTGCTCTCACGAACTCGAGAAAGGGTTCCCGGTCGATTACACCTGCACCCCGGCCCAAGTCTTTGTGCAGTTTGTGCAGCGATGCGGGTCGCGGGACGGAATACGCGCCATCGAGGTCGGGCTGCAAGCATTGGGGCCGGAACTTGATCTCGAGTCGCGCGACACAAGGCTCCTGGATCGAGAACACGTCGTTTCAATGCCAAGAATGGTCTCGATAGAGGTATGCGGCCTTTCCAGGGCACGTGGCGACGCTTTTCTCCTCCACACGGAGTCTGGAGCTTTTGAATGCATCCGGGACAGGTCCGGGGTTGCGGGTGGTCTCTGGGCTGCCTTTTACGAGAACCGACGGGCTCTGGAGCTGTATCGGCTGGGCAACACCTGGATGGCCATGATCCTGCAGCAGATGGATGAGACGGAAGGCCAGGTGTCAGGGCAGAGAAACATGCGCCTCCTGGGTCTGTGTTTCAGCCCGGAATGGTCGCGGACTGGACGAGAAGAGGACCTGCATCGAGCGCTCCGGCACCTAGACAGGATTCTGGTCCCGGGATTCTTGCGGAAGACCTCACCTTTTATCGTTGAGAACGAGGAGGGCATGTCAATGACAAGCAACCTCAAGACACTGACCAAGATGCTGAGCACCTTGGCGATGATGGGCACGCAAGTGCGAGGGCCGTGGCGGCGTGGCAACGAGAAATAAACAGGACATTCGTCATATATGACAATTGCAAGAACGGAGGGAGTATTTAGTAGACGATACGGTAAGAAGAATAAGTTGATCTCTGAATCACCGTGCTGTTTCGTTTTCTAAGCTGATGATGGCCAGACCTAACTTACATCTTGAGATGCTTCCAAAGGGAAGGGAAGGAGGGGGTTGACAAAGTCGCGCTAGACCGCGTCTGGACGAGAAAGCCAAAATTGGGTGAGTGAAGGAAGGTGGGGGTTTTGGGTGCCACGGGTGCCTTTTTTCAACGCGACAAGGGAAGAGGAGCCCAAAAGAGGGTCCAAAGTCCAGAGACGCAGGGGCCACCCGACAGCTGCCAAACAAAATGCAGGAGCGCCAGAACAAGGTAAACAAGCGAGAAAGCGCGGGCCACCTCTTGCTTGGTTTGGCGGTGAACAATTTCACTGCCTGTCGAAGCCGAGCCAGGGCCCCCGTCCAATCTCGCTCCTCTCTTCCCTGCATCCCCAAAATCAACAAATCTCCCTTCCACTCCTCTTCCACCTCTTTTTCCCACCTTGACCAAAACCCAACCCAACAAACGAACCAGTCGGGCTTCTCTTCTCGACCATATTCCATCTCCATCGTCAACTCCCAGAATACCTGGTAATTCGTCAAGATGCGCGAGATTGTAAGTCTCCCTCCGTGCCCCCTCTGCCTGCCGCTCTCTGCACGACGCGTCCCTCCGAGAGGGTTTGGAAATGGCCCCTGATTTGCCTTACCCCACCACGACACCACACTCGCACCACCTGCCTCTCGCCCTGGATACAACGTCCAGCGAAACACCGTCGTGATACCTCAGCGAGATCGATAGCTAACCATCAATTTTTCATCATCTATAGGTTCACCTTCAGACCGGTCAATGCGTAAGTCGTCCTGCCTCGAGAAAACGTGCTCTAGTGGCGATGCGGGGGATATGCTAACTGTGTGGCAACAGGGTAACCAGATTGGTGCCGCCTTCTGGTAGGCTTGGACGACAACAACACATCACGACTCGAGAATCAACCGATACTAACTCGGGTGAACTACAGGCAGCAGATCTCTGGCGAGCACGGTCTCGACAGCAATGGCGTGTATGTTGATGCTTGCCCATCCCAGATTCCCTGATGGTTCACCGCTCCTGACTTCGTCTCTAGCTACAACGGCACCTCTGAGCTCCAGCTCGAGCGTATGAACGTCTACTTCAACGAGGTATGTCCTTTGCAATCAGTGCCCGCGGTCGAGAGTGCCAACTGACTCGTTTGATTGTTTGCAGGCTTCTGGCAACAAGTACGTTCCCCGTGCTGTCCTCGTCGATCTCGAGCCCGGTACCATGGATGCCGTCCGTGCCGGCCCCTTCGGCCAGCTCTTCCGTCCCGACAACTTCGTCTTCGGCCAGTCCGGTGCTGGAAACAACTGGGCCAAGGGTCACTACACTGAGGGTGCCGAGCTTGTCGACCAGGTCCTCGATGTCGTCCGCCGCGAGGCTGAGGGTTGCGACTGCCTCCAGGGCTTCCAGATCACCCACTCGCTCGGTGGTGGTACCGGTGCCGGTATGGGTACCCTGCTGATCTCCAAGATCCGCGAGGAGTTCCCTGACCGCATCATGGCCACCTTCTCGGTCGTCCCCTCCCCCAAGGTTTCCGACACCGTCGTTGAGCCTTACAACGCCACCCTCTCTGTTCACCAGCTTGTTGAGAACTCGGATGAGACCTTCTGCATTGACAACGAGGCTCTGTACGACATCTGCATGCGCACCCTGAAGCTGTCCAACCCTTCGTACGGTGACCTGAACCACCTGGTCTCTGCCGTTATGTCTGGCGTCACCACCTCGCTGCGTTTCCCCGGTCAGCTGAACTCTGACCTGCGCAAGCTGGCCGTCAACATGGTCCCCTTCCCCCGTCTCCACTTCTTCATGGTCGGCTTCGCTCCCCTGACCAGCCGCGGTGCCCACTCTTTCCGCGCCGTCAGCGTTCCCGAGCTGACCCAGCAAATGTTCGACCCCAAGAACATGATGGCTGCCTCCGACTTCCGTAACGGCCGCTACCTGACCTGCTCTGCCATCTTGTGAGTTTCTCAGCCTCTAAATCTCATGATGATTCGAGTAACTAACGAGTATTCTCTAGCCGTGGCAAGGTCTCCATGAAGGAGGTCGAGGACCAGATGCGCAACGTCCAGAACAAGAACTCGTCTTACTTCGTCGAGTGGATCCCCAACAACGTCCAGACCGCTCTGTGCTCCATCCCCCCTCGTGGCCTCAAGATGTCTTCCACCTTCGTTGGAAACTCGACCGCCATCCAGGAGCTGTTCAAGCGTGTCGGCGAGCAGTTCACTGCCATGTTCAGGCGCAAGGCTTTCTTGCATTGGTACACTGGTGAGGGTATGGACGAGATGGAGTTCACTGAGGCTGAGTCCAACATGAACGATCTCGTCTCCGAGTACCAGCAGTACCAGGATGCTGGTGTTGACGAGGAGGAGGAGGAGTACGAGGAGGAGCTCCCCGTCGAGGGCGAGGAGTAAATCTAGGCTGATAGGGCCTGGGTTGGAAAGAACATTTCCTCTGGTGGAGTTTTGGAGCGTCTGTTTGTTAGATACTCCAATAGTCTTGGACGCTGTGCACCTCGACTGACTTGATGATCAATGGCCAGCATGGGTACATATACCCTTGTGTAGTTGACTTTTATTCGTACGTCAAAATAATTAAAGACTCGATACATGAGTACATCTTGATGTCCTGCCCCCCCCCCCCCCTGCCCTGCATGTGCTGTGAAGGATTGGTCCGGTCGGTATTCCTCCCCCGTGTCTTCATCTTGATGCTACTGAATTGCTCCAACCGCCTTGACTTTTCGCTCTGGCATTCGGCAGCAATGAATCAGTCTCGAGGTGACAAAGAGCCTTGCCACTATTGATGCATGCCTCGAGGTTTGAGAAGCACTTCAGCGTATCGGCGAGTGAGTTGTATTTGTCGCGAGTTGCGTCGAGAAGTAGGGATGGAATTGCTTCCATTACTAGACCCGAGAGCGAATAGCAATCGTAGTACTCGGCCATTTGCCTTTGATCACAAGCAGGGTAGCATGGGTGATCATCTTTGTGAGTTGGACCATCGAAACACTGCTCATCTCAAGACAGTCTTGAAGTTGGAGACTGGCCTTCTCAGAGAGACATTCAGGGGGTCGTTTCCGCGACTGACAAACGATCTTTTTTGCTCTATCATGAAATGTATCCATCCTTTCGAAGCTTGCCTACATTTTCCACTTTGTCCAGAGTGTAGTCTAGAAACTGGGCCCGGGGAAGGGGCTGCTGATATTCTTTGTGTGGGCCAGAGGTCTTTCTGGAGGAGTTGATGATACATTTCAAAGAGGGTGTGTGTTCTTGCTGCTGCCTCTCTAGGAGGAGGGCAAGTCGCTTTCTCTCCTCAGACAAGGGGGGGGCATGCATGTCCAACAAGAATACCGTCATAGAAGGGCTCGTCATTTGCGTCCATGCTGTCTGTCGCCCTTTACGATTGCGCCAAGTCAGCCTTGCTGAAACAAGAACTCACAAGAACCCAGCCAGGGACGACCGACCCAACAGTGGGTGCTGAGAAGATAATCGGCAAAGAAGCAGGGCCATGGATGGATGGCCCTTGCATGTTTTTGATTTCGTATGCATTACTGGATTTCATCATTTGTCAGGCGTTGAGCTCGAGTCCAAGGTCTTTGTGGGTAGATACGGCTGAACGAACTTGTGGTGTTGCGGATCAATCAGCTACGAAGCCTTCAGACGGCGTCCATTTCAAGAGGACGACAACACACCGACTTCGACTCGCCCAGGTCAAGCTTTACAAAACGCCCTGGTTCCGTTTCGAAAACTTTGGTAGGCTCGTAGCTGGTTCTGGAGTGGCCTCCTTGGAGAGGTTCGGTATGTTCAGGGGCAAGGCTGCGGATATCACACACACACACACACACACACACACTTGGTCGAATCATTCCCCCGAACGAATCTGAACAGGACATGTCTGCAAAGGAAGATGGGGGGGGGGGGGGGGGGGGGGCCCC